GTAGGGTTCTACTTTCTCCACTCTGCTGAATGCCTGAATGAATATATCAGGAAACTGGGGGGTTTGGGGGGCTGGCAGGAGTGGGGAGGAAAGAAAAGGGAATCAGGTAAATGCTACATAAAACAGCCTGTGAGAATTTGGGGAGTTATTAAACAAGAATAGAGTCTTGAAAACTTACTGAATTTCCCCTAATAATACAACACCTACCTCAAATACATGGCTCCCTATTCATATTTTTCCATTTAAAAAAAAATATTAACTACTGACACTTCTATTTTTGGTTTTAGGATAAATTTTTATTGATGTCATTTGGTTTTCACATCATTTTCACTTTTGAATATATCCCTATCTGGAGTAAAAAAAAAAAAATTTCAGCAAAACCAACACATCAACAATTTTACTTGTACCTGTAGCACTCCCCACCCACCTCTGCAAAGGGAGGGAGGTGCATTTTCTCAACTTGTCCCTGGGGTCAGGCTTCAGGATCATTGTAATGACAGTAGTCAGTTTCATTTTTTTTGTTCTTTTCCCACTGTTGTGGTCCTCACTCACGAATATTACATATTGTTTTCCTTGATCTACTTCCTTCTGTTATCAGTTTTATTCTTACTATGCTCCTTTGAATTCTTCACATTCACCCTTTCTTGTGGTACAGTAATATTTCATTACATCCACGTACCACAGTTTCTAAGCTATTCCCCAAACAATGGGCACTTGCTGTGCTTCCAGTTCTTTTTCTACCACAGTAAGTGCTGCTATGAATTGTGTTGTATTTGGGGCCTGTCTTTGACCTCTTTGGTACATATACTTAACAGAGGGATCTCTAAGTCAATCCCTTGCTCTAGAGAGACCTTTCTTTCTCCTTTTCATTAACAATTAAAATGTCAAGCTTATCACTTCACTTTTCCTAGAAAAACTATCATCTCTTGCATCTTTATCAACCCTTTAATCAGATTAATTTGTTTTTCATTATAAAGTGAAAGAGTTGAAATCGAAGTGCAGACGTGAATGGCCTTTGATCTCATCAAGACCTCCCTTCCTGGACAAGTGCCTTAATGAGACAGAAGATGCACAGGAGTACTGAAGCAGAGATTATAAACTCCCGAAATTCCATGAAATGTCTGGGTATTTTTCCTTGTTTCCTTTACTATCACGGTTAGTAGTTGTTCTTTCTCCTGGAAGAGGACTAAAATGACATCACTATGTTAAAGTCAAGTTAGGATTCCTCCTGACTGTGGCTGATCAGACCAACATGAGCTTGGAATGCTCTACCACATAATCCATGTGAACATTTAGGGTGGATTGCATCTTGAGTTTCTGAGATACTTCAATTTTGCTTTGCTCATTGAGCACAGCACCTTTTCTGATGAAGGCATACCATGCTGAGTGGTCCTGTGCCTGTCTCCCACATCACACAATCAATTCCAGAGTTCTTCAGAGAGACCTTGAGAGTGTCCTTGTATAATTTCTTCGGACCTCCATGTGATCACTTGCCCTATGTGAGTTCTCCATAAAATAGTCTTCTAGGCAAGGGTACCCTTGGCATTCAAACAATGCAACCCGCCCATCAGAGTTGCACTCTCTGCAGTATAGTTTGAATGCTTGGGAGTTCAGTTCGACAAAGGACCTCTCTGTCTGAGGTCTTATCCTGCCAGGTGATCTTCAGAATCTTCCTAGGACAATTCAAATGGAAGCGATTCAGTTTCCTGGCATGGTGCTGTTATAACTATACAGGTTCACAGGCTTACAACAACAAGGTCAGCACAACAGCTCTGTAGACCTTCAGTTTGGTAGTCATTCTAATATCTCTTCTCTCCCACACTTTCCCAAATCAGGCTAATCCTCTAAGTATCTACTTGTAAGATTAAAAGTCAGTTTGGCTTTTAATTTTGGTGTTTCATATGTAAACATCTAACCTAGTCAGCAAACCTTTGACAACAACAGTCACTCAGCACCTTTCTTAGTTCTCAAATCTTATACTCTTTATGTCCCATTAATTTAATTTAATCCAACAAAGAATTATTCTTTTGGTATCTGGAATCAAGGGAATAGTGCATTGTGGCAGTTCATGCCCCTGTGAGCAGGATCCCCAAGTAGAAAGTCCCTTCCTTGTCCCTGGGCTCAAGTACTACTACTCATCCTGAGATTGTACCTTTAGGATCTGGGCTGATCTTTCAGCTAGTATAATCATCCTTCATAATGCATCTTCACCACAAGCTCTCACCCTGCCAGTTAAATTGCAAAAAACTGCTCCTTCCAGTATAAGCAGATTTGAGAAGCTACAAACTATGCACAGGTAGGCAATCAGAGATACACCATCCTTATTCAATTCAGTCTGACACTGTTAAACGGATGATCAGACTTTTATAGTCACATTGGTTTCATTTCCTTCATTTTCCATTTGCTTACTAAAGGTTCTTTCTCTCTAGTTCCTTAAGAAATTCATGTAGAGTTCAGGCTGGACTGCATTCCAAACACCAACTCATATCTGAAGTCATATATACTTCCCTCATACGTTTCTACTTATCCCTCTGGTCTTCCCTTAACCAAATTCTTTCTTAGACAACTTCAATATGGACATTTTCCTTGGCAACTGCTTCTCTACTTTCAAGAGGCAGTTCAATATAATGGAAAACGGATTGGACTTTGAGTTAGAAGCCTAGGTTTTAGTACAGATTCTGCTATGGACTAACAAGGACCTTGAGCAAGACGTGATCTCTGGATTGCTTCTTCAATGATGTGAGCTGTGGGGATAGGGCAATGAATTAGGTTGCTAGGTGGTGAAGTTCACACAGTGCTGGCCTTGGAAATCATGAAGACCTGAGTTCTGTCCTGCCTTAACACATGCCATATAATTGCTGGCTGCTGTGAATTATTATAATTCCCCTTCCACAATTCAGAAATTTTTATCTATCATTTTTTTTTAGACAATTGGGGTTAAGTGACTTGCCCAGGGTCACACAGCTAGTAAATGTTAAGTATTTGGTCTGAGGCCAAATTTGAACTCAGGTTCTCCTGACTCCAGAGCCAGTGCTCTATCCACTGGGCCATCTAGCTGCCCCGAATTTCAGATTTCTTATCCTCTCATGAACATCCCCTCCCTCCGAACCAAAAACCAAACCCTAGCTGACCAGTTTATCCTCAATCTAAAATAAGTCAATAAGACAAGCGTTAAGCTTCTGCAGGAACAATCTGGGTTTTGGTGACTGACTGTATTTTCCAACATAAGGGCATATGGTCTGACAAAAGCTCATTAAAGTCCAATTCTTAATTTGTTTTCTGCTAGGAAATTTGGGAGATAGATTTGAGCCAATTTAATTTTTGTCCTTAAGTCGTTTCTAGTCCTGACTCTGTGACCCCATGTGGGGTTTTTTTTTTTGGCAGAAATACTGGAGTGGTTTGCTATTTCCTACCTCATTTTACGGATGAGGCAGAAAGGGTTAAGTGACTTGCCTAAGGTCACACAACTAGTGTCTGAGGTTAGAACTCAGGAAGAAGAGCCTGAACTCTATCCACTGCCCCACCTAGTTGCCCCCCAATTTAATTTATGGAAGTTTACACAGATTATGTGGAGAAGGCAAAGGCAAACCACTCCAATATCTTTGCCAAGGAAACCCCACATGAGGTCACTAAGATTAGACGGACTGAAACAACAAAAAAGAGACTGTGAGCTCCTGGAGGGCAGGGACTACCTTTTGTCTCTTTCTGTATCCCCAGTTTAGCCAAGTGCCTGGCACACAGGAGATGCTTAATAGTTACTGAATTGAGAAGACTTTCCTGGCAGACCTAATGATGTCCAAAAAGAAAAAATTCCAGATATAGACCCTGACACTATGGGGCTCTTTCCTTTTATAACATTTTTAAAAATTCTGAGTTCCAGATTTTCTCCCTCCTGACAGCTAGTCCCCCACCTGTTGAGATGGCAAACTATGAATACATGTACAGTCATGCAAAACATACATACACACGTGTGTACATGCATACACATACACATACACACACACACACACACACATATATATATATATACATATATCTCCCTTTCATAAATGTTATTCCATTCCAGCAATCGCGCAGGGAGGCAGGCACCCCACACGGCCTAGGATGCTTGAAGGCAGGTTTTTTTGTTTTTTTTTTCCCTCCTTCTCGGATCTTAGCACAGTGCCTGGCACTGTAGGTACCAGCGAGCAGAGTGCTCTATAAAGACTTGACTGGATAGTGGTGCAGAGGGCTGGATTTGGAGTCAAAAAACCTGGGGTTCGAATCCCCTCTTTCCCACTAGCTTCTTGAATAAGCTTGGTTAAGTTACCTAACCTTCCTCAGCCTCAGTTTCCTCGCTAGGTGACTCCTAAGCTCTCCATCAACGTCCTCCCCTCTCCCGGTAGAGAGACCCGAGGCTCACAGTGGGAGGTCGAGGGACTGGCACAAGGTCATCCGATGCCCCCTTCGGGGTCACAGTCAGACATCTCTTCACCCATGGGAAGACAGGTTATTTGTGGCCGTGGGAGCCTCAGATATAAAACAACAACCACTGACACGGCGCTCTCAAAGTTTACAGAGCGCTCTCCTAATTTCTCTGGCAGGGCAGAAATTCTGTTGAGGAAGGGGAGAGAGGGAGAGAAAAGTGGCCCACTCCGGGGTCCCTCCTGGTCGGACGTCACCTGATTTCCCAGGGTTTGCAGGCCGTTTGGCCCCCAGCAGCCACCTCGCACGAGCCAACCCCTTCCGACCATACCATCCACACGCCCGTGGGGGAGAGGGAAGGACGGATCATAGCTCCGACCAAAATGAGCCGCGAGACGTAGCCCCGGTCACGCAGCAGGAAAAGGCTAACAAAGGCAAGGAGGACAGGATTTCCGAATCCCCCTCCCCTAGTCTCCACCCCATCCTTCGATCGGCGCCCCTCCTAGCCTAGACAGAGTTCCTCCCCCCTGGCTGTGAACGGTTGGTCTCGGCCGCGCCGGCTCTCGTTTGGTCACGTGCTCCTCCTGTACTCTGCGAACCTGCGGGAGTGAATTACCGGGGGACAGAGATATGGCAGCTCTACTGAGACCGGCTCGCTGGCTCCTCCGTAACGGGGCCGGGTTCGCCCCGCTCCTCCCGCTCCCCCTGCGCCACCTCACGGGCAGGGCGGGCCTCCCGCGTGCTGCCGCCGCCACCCTAGCGTGCCCCAGGTCTCTTGCTAGGTGAGTGCTCGGGCAGGTCGTTCTCCCCTGCTGGGTTCCAGTAGTCTCCCACCCGGGGATTCCGTGGCTCGAGCTGAGGGTGAAGAGGTCTAGACTAATGCCGCCGCCTTCAGCCTCCGGGACTCCGCGTGGGGGGCGCCGGAGACCCTGCAGGCGTCTTAGCCATTGACTGGGCCTCTGCGCCTCCGGGAAGGTCAAACAGCCACATGGTTTCCCTGCTGGGCGGCTTGGCCACGCCTCCTCCTCTGAACCCGCTTCTCCTCCCTTTGCCGCAGCGGGTGGGCCGGGCTGCTCCCGGAGCTCTCAGCCTGCTTGGCGGGGCCCGCTCGCCCTCCCCGGCGGAGGGCTCGCGAACGCTCGGGGCGCCAGTCCTCGTGCGGGGCTCTGCTTGGCTTCGGGGATTGTGGGAGAGCTCCAAAGCGAGGCAGCTGGGGGTGCGGAGGCGGGAGCCAAGTTTCGGGGTTCCCCTTTCCTTGGGGTCGCGGCGCCGGGCGCGGAACCACGTGTGTGCTCGTAGCGCGGGGGCGCTGGGAAGCTTCCGGGAGAGCGCGGGCCTGGCGGGCGCTGTCTCTTTAAATCTCTCAGGAAACGCGCCGCACGTGGGTATCGTCGGAGCCGGGAGGTTGGAATTGGGGAGCTTTGCGCCCCGGGCTGGCGTCCGGTCCGGCCCGGCCTGGGAAAGCGGGGACCCCACGGGAACCCCCCAAAGCCGAGGGGCTCACCCAGCTTGGAAGTTCCATGGCTGGGTCACAAAGGATTAGTGTAGTGGTGACTCCAAACCCAGCACCTTGTCTGTGATGATGGTAACAGTAATAATACTACTGCAATTAATAACGAGCATCTGCCTAGCGCCTTAAGGTTTGGACAGCGCTTACAGACATCTCATTTGATCCTCTCCGCAACCCTGGGAGGTTTGGGGCTATTAATAGGTACCATTTTATATAGCACCTACTGTGTACCTGGCAGAGTGCTAAGCAACTTACAGTTATTTCATTTGGTCTTCACAACAACCTTGGAAGGTAGGCGCTATTATTATCCATTCCCCATATTCGTTAGCTTTTGTGTAGACCTACTATGTGCCAGGTACTCTGCTTAAGCGCTTTACAGTTACGGTCTCATTCAATTCTGACAACAACCCTGGGAGGTGAGGGCTACTATTATTTCTGTTTTACACATGAGGAAACTGAAGCAGACAAAATTTAAGTTACTTTCTTCATAAAGCTGGGATTTGTTTGAGGCAGGATTCTAGAGCTTACTTGACTAATAAGTTAGACAACCTATCCTCTGCCCACCTGGCTGCTTATAGAAACGTCTCCTCTTCACGCTTCCCTTCAGGTTCCCAGCTAAAATCCCACCTTCTGTCAGTTTATAAACACTTAACCAAGGCCTACTATGATGCGCCAGGCACTTGCTAAGTTGTGGGGATGCCCACAAAGAGTGCACAGTGTGATCCGGTGGGACAACAAGCAAACATAAGTACAGACAGGCTATATGTAGGATCAATAGGAAATAATTACAAGAGGGAAGGCACCAGAGTTAAGGGGCTGGAATTAAGACAGGATTGTAGTTAGGGCTTAAAGAAAGCCAGGGAAACCAGTAAGCAGAACTAAGGGAGAGCATTCCAGTATGCAATAAGTCTTTTCCTCTCTACTCTAATCTTAGTACCTTCCTTCTGATGATTGTCTCCAACTTATCCTGTATATATTTTATTTGTACTTAGTTGTTTGCATGTTAAATGGTTCAAATGGCACTGGAGTCAAGACTTGAGTTCAAATTTGGCCTCAGATGCTAGGTGTGTGACCTTGGGCAAGTCACAAACCTTTGCCCTAGTTTCCCTAACTGCAAAATGGGAATAATAATAGCACATTTGTAAGTATCAAATGAGATGCTATTTGTGAAGCACTTAGCCCAGTTCCTGGAACATAGTAAATGCTATCTAAAACTAACTATTATGTTGTTGTCTCACCCTATTAGATTGTGAATTCCTGAGAGCAGGAACTGCTTTTGCCTTTCTCTGTATCCCCTTTGCTCACTAGAGGGCCTCTCTGGGGGGGTCAGGAAAATGTCTTTTCAGCTTCCCTAACCCATACTAGCAGTGTAAACCTGTGTAAATCATTGAGGCTTTCTTTCAGTGTCCCCAAAACACTTTGTTTCAAAGACCCCTTTGGCAGTCTAAACTGTGAACCCCTTCAAAGAATAAATGTTTTTCAATGCATGAAACAAAACAGTAAGATTAGAAGGAAACCAATAGTATTGAAATAGTTATCTATATATGTATTTTAGGAACTATCAGACTCTGGGTTAAGAAATCCTGTTCTCAGAATATGAAGTGCTGATAATTTCGATGATGAGATTTGAACTGCACTGGTACAGATTAATATGAGACTAAAAAGCCTAGCTCTAAGGCTGGATTTGGACCCACGTGTTCTGGAAGTCCCATTACTCTCTCCACTCACTTTACCACTCTGCCTCTGTAGATGGAATCATAGAATACACAGCAGTATTTGTTTTTAATTACAAGATATCCTGTGTACGTGGAGTCTTTTTTGTCTTTAAATAAATCCTTATATTGAGCATTTTTGTCCTATATTTATGAGGGATACCCTATAGGACCTTCATGTGCTTCTCTAAAACTTGTGCTTACATTCTTAATATCTGATTTTTTTCTATTCAACTTATGCAATTATAAGGGAAGAATAGGGATAAAGATAGCATTAGCATCTCCACTATACAGATTAGTTAATTCAGAATTAAATTCCCTCTCCATTAATTGTCAGATCTTGGGATAATCTGTTTTCTCCCCATTAAAGTGCTTTTTTTAAAAAATTATTTAAAAAATTTTTTATTTAAATATAAGAACATGCAAAACTTATTTCCATATTGGCCATACTGCAAAAGAAAACACAAAATAAAACAAAAAAAATAAAGACATTTTAAAAGTATGCTTCAGTCTGCATTCTGAATTCATAAGTTCTCTGGAGGTGGATGGTATTTTTCATAGTGGGTCCTTTGGAATTGAGTAGCAAAGTCTTTCACAGTTGCTCATCTTTACAGTATTACTCCTGCTGTGTACAGTATTCTGGTTCTGCTCACTTCACATTGCATGAGCTCATACAAGTTTTTCCAGGTTTTTCTGAAACCATCCTGCTTGTCATTTCTTATAGCCCAATAGTATTCCATCATAATCATATACCATAACTTATGCAACTATTAATTAATGGGCATCCCTTCACCATCTTTGCCACCATCAAGTGCTTTTTATGAAAGAATAGACTTCTTTCAGCTCTTAAGATCATAGAATGTAGGACAGATAAGCATTTATTAAGTGCATACTATGGCCAGGCACTGTGTAAAACCCTGGGGTTAATCATAGGAGCAAGCAAGAAAGTCCGTGCCCTTAAGGTGTTTACATTTTAATGGGAGAAGAGTGTTGAAAGAAGGAGCCGTGGAGTACTGAACTTGCATCATGATGGATGGAATTGGCCTAGACAGGCAGTTTTCTGGGACCTGAGCCAAATAATGGGTGAATCTGGCTTTTTTTTTTTTTTTTTTTTTTTGGTGAGACAACTGGGGATTTGGACTCAGGTCCCCCTGACTCCAGGGCCACTGCACCACCTAGCTGCCCCTAGTGAGTCTGGCTTCTTAGAGAGAGCGTCCAAGGTTTGCTAGGAGGGAAATGAGGATGATGGACAGAGTGCAAGCAGCAAGGTGTGGAGATGGAAATGGACTTGACTGTAGAGGTAATTCTCACATGTTACAGATGAAGAAACAGAACAGAAAGATGAGTGAGGTGACTTATCCAAGAATACACACTGGCCATGTCTGGATTCAACACTAGGTTTTCTTACTCAAACCCAGTGCTGTTTTCATTGAACCATGATTTTGTGGTGGTATACCCTCCTAACTACAGGGGAGGCTGAGACTGACAGATCTCTGGAGCAAGAGATTCTAGGCATTCTGCATTACTGTGGTAAGCCCCTGGGAGTAGGAGGGAGTTAGTGGGCTCAGGCCAGAAACGTAGCTGATCTGTAGTAAGAGCTGGCCTATGAGTAGCCCTTGCACTTTCATCCTGAGTGACATGTAGAGACCATGTCTCAATTTTAAGAAACTTGAGATAGAAGACTTGGCCAGTGATTTCATAGGTATAGGGAACTTCCAGGTAAGGAAACTCACTTTACCAATACAGTTAGGTCCTTCTCTGCAACTTAGAGTCTTAGCTGTCTAAAGCAGAGGTGTCAAACGCAAATGTAATTAGGAAATATTTAGCAAAATAAATAAAATACAATTAAACAGATAACACTGCATGTTAAAATTAAGACAGTATGATACTGGCAGGTCTTGACACCAACACCTAAAGCAGTGGTGTCAACCTCGAATAGGTTCCTGTTGGGTACCTATTGATTTAGAAAACTACAAGTTAATATTAATCTATGTTTTATTGTATTTTTATTTATTTTGTTAAACATTTCCCAGTTGCATTTTAATCTGGTTTTGAGTGTACTGGAGAATGGGCCAAGAGTTTGACATCTCTGATCTAGAGCAACAAAAAGTTAAACAACTTGTCTAGGGTCATCGGAACTTCCGTCCAGGTCTTCTTGGTTTTTGAGGCCAATTCTGTATTCATTACACATTTCCTTGCTTTTGGAAGGGAATCTGGTAGTTTTATTTGAATGGAGACTGGCAGGTGCTACCAAGCTAGAAGGGCTTAGAATGGTGCCCTGCAGTCGTGATAGGCCAAAGGAGGGATGGATGGAGAGGCTCAGCACTAAAAGGGTGATAGGAAGTTGACTGTTTTTTGGCTACTCATTAAACTATCTTCTATTTTCAGTCTCTCCAATACCTGCATGGTTGAAGTATTTCCACATAAAGTTAATTTATAGCCAAATACATACCCCAGCATTCAGCATTTGTGTATATGTATGTCCTGAAGGTTTGCATTTTTCAGCTCGGTTACTACCCGTGAGCAGTAGATCAGTGCCAGAGGAACTGAGATGTTAGTA